AAAATGCTTATCTCTTTCTTTTGTAAAACATTCACACTATGCCTACATTACATGCATGTCACACATTTAAGAATTACTATTTCTGTGTTGCTTTTTACAGTGTCTTAAAGCAATGCTGGATGCTGTTGGACTGGATGGTAAGACTGCATGTACTGTAGTGTTGCTGTTTACCGAGATGATCTCTGCTTTCATAGGAGTTATACTTCGGTGCAGCGTTTTGGATGTTAATGCCATAGCATTCTGTGTTTACAGGCACGTGTTGGCACTTGAGGAGGCTTGACTGGTGTGAGGAGGTTGGAGAGCCGCTTATGGAGGAGGTTAGTGTCTGACAGTTGTAAACAATATGTCATGCTTAATTCAAACAGCTCCTTTTACCCTGTGTATCCGGGGAATTTTTCCTCACATTGTTTAGCACCATACAAAATGTATATTAGAAAAAATGTCTGCCAAAATGCTAAACTCTGAATGAAAGTACTTAAAATTAAGCAGTTGTACAGAAAAAAATGAAAGCGGACTTAAAAATGTTGGACTACAACTAGTTTTGCAGAGCAAGACCACAGCTGCACCTCATCATCATTCTGCTGTAAGGGAAAGACGGCTTTTTTGTGTTTCTTTAAACCAATCACAATCATATTGGGCAGAGAGATGCAGCAGCATGTCCCTCCCTTCAAAATAGTGATGGGGGAATTGTTTCTTGTAGTAGAAAATGGCATTATGAAAATGGTGACATGTAATCTGCAATCTACTTTTGCTGAGCCTGGCTACGCTGCAACTAGCAATGGTTCTGTTGTTGATCAGTCTGCAGTTCTTTTTCTCAGTTATTCAATTAATCGTGTGACCTATGAAATGTCAGAGAAGATGTTTGTTGCAAATACTCACAACCAACTAAGCAAGTTTGGATGAATTAAACAATGAATCTGTTATCAGAATAGCTGCATATATAGAGACGAGTGACAAGTTAAACGGAAAAGCCTGAATGCATCACCCCCTAGAGTGAGGATGTCCAATGGCTCTATTATGCTGTGGGGGGTTTAGGGTCACTTCCAGGATGACAATATATAGGTGGTCACGTAATGGTCTGATGAGATGAAAATGATGGGAGTTTTACACTCTGACCTTCACAGTCACCAGATCTGAACCCAGTTAAACACCTTGTGGACTGACGTGTTAGACAGAGCTCTGCGCCCCTATTATCAAAACACCAAATGAGGGAAAACCTTTTGGAATAATATTGTTCCATTGCTAAAATAAAGCTTCAAGAGACGTGTAGAATGAATGTCAAGGGGCATCAGAGCTGTTATTTGCTGTTTTTTGTTGTTGTTGTTGTTTGTTTTTTTTAGTAGACATTTTAATCTTTGAAATCTTAATGCCTTTTGGCTGTTGTGTTTTTACTTGTTTTTATGGGTTTTAACTCCAGTTATAGGACTTTGAGATTGTTTATTACAATGTAAAGTGTTTTTCCAAATAAAATCTATTGTTATTATTATTATTATTATTATTATTATTATTATTATTCATATTCCTACTATTATTATTGTTGTTATGGTGACACGTGGTGGAGCAACACTTTGACAATTTATGTATTTTTTTTCTTTCTTTAATTAGTCACCTGCCTGTAGTTGATCTTCTTTTTGGGGAGTGACTGACTAATTATTTATTTCACTAATTGTTGTCTGTTGTTCTGTCATACTTTGTGCTTGGCAGATGTTACCCACATGTATTCCCACATCATGTACTCCTCATACCTTTGCAGCCATTTTAACACAAGCCTTTTATTCTCAGGATGCTTCTCTGTCAGAGCTGAAGATCAGCAACGGGGAGACGTTAGTTGTCACAGAAGGACATTTGCCTCCGAAGGTACTTGAATGCTTTGAGTTTGTGGGTAGATTCATGATGTATTGTAGCTTTATGGCTTCTTGCTTTAGCTTCTGTTGTCTTTTCCTGTCAGGGTTTTCTCAAGATGTCTGTATGGCTATATCGGGATCTGAAAAACGTGGTATCAGATTTCAATCACACTGACAACGGCCCCGCTGAGGAGCAGATGCTGGAGGTTGTGACTGCAGGTGAAACACACGGTCGGTCACCTCCTCTCTGTGGCGGACACACAGCAGAGCTGAGGAGTGTGGGGCAGGTAGAGATATCAGACGAGGCCACTCTGGAGGATCTCAAAACTCAGGTAGATGTTTAGGTCAAGTCTGTATTCAAGTTGTTTGGGAATCCTTAAAAAACAAAACATTGTAGAGACTTCAGTCTTTTTTACTAACTGATCAGTTTTCATTGTAATTCCATTTAAATCAGCCGCAACTAAATGCATGACAAGGAAACAGTTTCTGTCCTTTATATTGGAGTTGAATTTATGCCATTAAAAGTGTGTCTGCATTTGTGATTTGCTCTCCATCTGATGTTTGGAGATACTCTCCTTTCAGGTGTTGACGCTGCCGGCCCTGCAGGATGTGTGTGTGCCAACCACTGGGTTCATGCGTGTGTGGCAGCTGGAGGGACGGAGGCTGGCCCGCATCCTCAGAGGACTACAAGTAACACTCAGGTCTGAACACTTGTTATGTTACATGTTACTGCACCAGATTATCAACATCAGTGACAGATGCAGAACGTTGCTCGTCCACATGACTTATTTGCTTTGTTTTTCTCAGGAAGTTGAAGCTGACCAGTGGTTCAGATATTTGTGTGCAGCAGCTACTGAAAGAGGAAGATCTTGGGTAACATTTATTATGTTAAATTTTGTGCTTTTACTTGCTTTTTATAATACTTCAATTCCATGTTTCCACATATCTCTGACTTTAATCTCTTCTTGTTCACAAGGCTGAAGGAAGTGCTGCTGAACATTAAGATGGGCGTGCCGGGGGAGAGGTGTTACTACCCTCCAGAGGAGATGGTTTGGGACGCATCCCATGATTCCTCTCCTCGCTCTCTACGCACCTGTCTGGCTGCACACTACGGCCTCTCTCCTGACGCTCTGCTGTTGGCTAAACACCAGCCAGACAAACACATCTGGGAAGAAATCTCCAACTGGGTAAGATTTTAGAGAAGAATTTCTTCTGTGATTGCACTTTCATTCTCTTGCTCAGTAGACAGATGAAATAGTAAAGAGAACCTAAGAGCAAACATTAGAGAGTAATGTAAACTCCATACATGTAGTTTATTGCATAATAGGGTAGGTGACCTTGTCCCTAAGTCTTTGCATTCTCATATGTTTTACGTATTTGTTGCCATGCTTTTAGTGAATAACACGTCTTTCACTGTCAGACGCAGCAGGTTTCCAAAAAGAAGAAGAAGAAAAAGGCAGATTCGCTACTGGGAGCACCATTCCACCTCAAAGATGGCGACACAATCGGCATCAAGGTATTAATAAAACTCTGTTTAGGAAACTCTTTTGCTTTTGTGTCAGACATCCTGAATCTGTTCTTTATGTTGTTTCAGAACCTTCTGATTGACAACAACAGGGGCTTCATCACTCTGGAGGATGAGCAGGGCCAACAGAGGCTCAGGGAGCAGGCAGAGCAGCGCAGGAAAGGGTGGGGACCTGCATGCAGCCGCAGGGAAAACCATCGTTACTGTCTGATAAGTTTATGGCCTCACAGATGTTACTGCTCAAATCAGCTGCAGAGAGAAAAAAAATCAAGCATTTTCACAGCATATATTTGGTCATAATGGTGCAACTGTGACTCCAAACAAACTGTGTACACTCATTATGTTTATAATTTATGTTTATCCCCTGTGGTGATGTTTTTGTACTCTTGCTTGTTTTCAGAGGGCAGGCTGCAGCCTCTGATGTTTCTGGACCACAGAAGAAGACTGAACAAGCCAAATCCAGGAAACCAGAGGTGGCATTGTCAATCAATGTTGGGGTATTCAGATAGCACCATTCTTCCATATGTGCATGGAAAAGTCAGGACTACTTACAGCGCTACATGCACACACACACACACACACACACACACACACACACACTGAGATGCCACATTGCGGTTAGGACAATCCAACGGAAGTCAGTCTTGTGCCATTTTTTTTCTAGCGCTGTTTGCATTCTGTCATTCTCCACAAATCTGTTGAATCGGACTAAAATCCAAGTCTAAATTCATTTCTGATACTCATCTTTCTGAAGAGAAAGAATTTCATTGTCGGCACTTTAATTTGCTGTTTTTTTAACAACTGACTAAAATCTGCATTTTCATGCAGTTTAATTCATGTTTGTCTTGCTTCATCTCTCTACAAGCTTTCAAAGTTGCAACAACCACACACGATCTCTATCTGGTGAAATTGCTGTGTTTTTTTTTAATTTTCTGAGGGAAAACATTAAGACGGCGTCAACTTCAGGAAAACATTTTTTTGCTGCATGGAACAGTACTTCTGTGATATTATATTGTAAGTTGGCCAGAAAACAGTTTCTACTTTGAGTGTGTTTTTTTTTTTTTTGCTATTATAGGCAGTTAGTTATTGTTCTGACAGTTGTGCTAACTGGAGTTTCTATGAACTATCCGGCAGTTGGGGTGGACATTTATACTGTAGCCAACAGCCAATGGCTTTTAAATTCTGTCTTTCCTCTAAAATAAGCCACTGAAGGAGGGAATTGCCTTCACCAAGTCCTGATAGTCTTTATAAGGTAACTGGTTGCAGACTAAGTGACTCAGTTTTATAATAAAACTCCTTCTGCAACATGGACAACAATATTTCTCCCTATTGAAGGGTTTGTTTTAGGTCAATAATAAAGAGAGGAGAGACAGGCCTTAATGTGGAGAAGCCTCAGCGCTGCTCTGTGCTCCCTACCTCACTCTCTACCTCTCTCATGCTACCTCTTCTGCCCTGTTTTTTCTTTTTCTTTTTTTTTAAACCCACAGTTCTTACTGTTGTTCATAATTTTATATTCCTAACCCTTGATCGATTACAGTAAAGCACAGTTAAAGTACTAAGACAATAACAGTTTAATGTTTAAGCTCTGTGCGCTTACCATTGGGAGTGACAGGATGCATCAACTTGATTACAGTGGGTAAATAAATAGCTTAGTCGTCCTTTATTGGGCATTTCCAGCCTTTGGAGCTGAAAATTAAAGTGAAAATTTTCTTTGAGCCTAATTTTTCATTTCACACTCAAATTCATTATGTTGAGCAGAAACATAATTGTGATAAATCAGTGTTTTAAGATGCCGGATAAATTTGCAGTTCTCTTCTGCTTCAGAAATATTCTGTAAACACACTCCTTGATTATGTGAAAGTAAAGATCCCTGAAATTTTATTGTGGAACATTTTATTTTTTTCAGTTGCATGCACTATACTGTATGTGAACTTCAGGGAATTAAAAAAAAAAAGATTATTTAGATAATTTATTTGAAGAAAAAATAATTACCATATATGATGTGATGGTTTTTTGGGAAATTTGCTTTAATTATTAAAGGTTTTCTAAGCTGCTTCATACATTAATCTGGCCTGGAACGGTGCCAAGTAGAACTTAAATCTATTTGTCTGAAGCAAACGCATAAAACTCTTTGACAGTATACTCAACAATAGAGGGATTTCATTTTGTATCATACAGTATCAAATGCTAGTGTTAATGATTACATCTTTGGTGTTATTGATAAGGACTGATCTGCTGTATTGTAACAGTGGACATCTGTTTGTATCCATGTCAGATTGTATTTGCACAAAGTATTTTATGAACAATAAAGGTATACAGTAGGAAATGTCAGCCATGTTCATCTCGCCTAAATACAATCACTGCTTTTTTTCCTTTTTATTCTGCTTTACGACAGATTCTCATGACTTTCTGTGAATGTCGGTCCAGACTGAAATATCTCAACAGCAGTTATAACTGACAGTGACATTTGGCAGAGATACTGAAGGTCCACAGAGGATTAAATCCTAAAGACTCTGGTGATCCCCGGAGCTTCACCCTAGTGCTACCAGCATGTTCTTACTGTGTCTACCTGTGGACTGGTGCAACATTTTGCACATCCATTCATGGTTTTCAGAGGATCTGTCCAGGTAAATTTGGGTACCATTGTGGCGTTGCTCTATTGCCAGATGAGGTGGACATTTCTGAGTTGCGTGAAATGTCTCAGTAGCGAGTGGATTGATTTGTCATGAAGTTTAACACGTTGTTGTCCTCTTAGAGGGAGTTCTGAGGATCCCTTACTTTGTAGTGCTACCACCAGGTCCTGCAAATGAGATCAACCCAAACTGTAGTTTATGTAGTAGCTTAGCATTAATTAGCAGATATTAGCATGTTAGTATGCTAAGCTAAGAGCATAAACACGCTGGCATTGTCATGTGAGCATGTAAGATTTTGCACAGCCTTACCAAACTACTAGTTTCACTGCAGTTTGTTGCTCCAAATTTGGTGCAACAAATTGTCTCTGTTTGCACGTGACTTAAACTGGAACAGCACTTTTTATTCTGTCAGGAACTAAAATGTGACTTTTTACAGTGATCTAATTAAAATGTAGCTGGTAACACCATCAAAAGGTGCCAGAATACCACTTTCTATGGCACACTAATTAAAAACAGATTTTAACTCTGTCAAAAAACGTGTGTATAAAAAGCAATGTTTTTATGCTGCTGTATTTCCAAGGGCAGCTCAGCAGCTGCCAAAATGCCACTTTTGATGGCACTCTAATCAAAATCAAAAAAGAAAAGCACAAAAAACAAACCACAGCTTTTCTGGCGCTCTAATTAAGATGCCACGTTTTCCTTCTTCTGAACTCAAAACTGATACTAAAATGCTGCTTTTTATGCAGCTCTTGTGACTTTAACGTTCCAGGGTGCAATAAACACCTTGCTGACACTTTTACAGTGTTTGATTTTATTTAATTAAAATAGTGTCAGGGGCTGCAAGGTGGCGCAGTTGGTAGCACTGTTGCCTCGCAGCAAGAAGGTTGCCGGTTCGCGTCCCGGTGGGGGCGCCGGAATCTTTCTGCGTGGAGTCTCCATGTTCTCCCCGTGCAGCGTGGGTTCTCTCCGGGTTCTCCGGCTTCCTCCCACACAGTCCAAAAACATGTTGAGGTTAATTGGTGATTCTAAATTGTCCGTAGGTGTGAATGTGAGTGTGCTTGGTTGTCTGTCTCTAAGTGTAGCCCTGTGATAGACTGGTTACCTGTCCAGGGTGTCCTCTGCCTTCGCCCTAAGTCAGCTGGGATAGACTTCAGCCCCCCCGCGACCCTAGTGAGGATTAAGCGGTGTACAGAAAATGGATAGTGTCAAAAATGCCAACAAAAAGCAGCTTTTTATGGCTTCCAATCAAAATGCCTTTTTGCTGCTTTTTACACCATGTTAGTCAAAAGCCCCTTTTTTACATGACAAAAAACTCTAATAGTAAAATGCCACTTTTCATGGTGCTATAATTATTTTTTTTCTCCTTTATCCACCATCAAAACCTCCTAAAGCGCTGGTTTTTAAACAGCTCTGGTGACTTACAATAAAATGCTGCCTTTTATGACAGTTCTTTAATGACTACAGCATTTTTAATAAACGCTTTTTAATATTCCAAGTTGTAAAACAAGCGGCTTCCTGACAGATTTACAATGTTATTGTTTGTTTGATTTATTTTAAAGGCTGTTTGAGATGATTTATGGCCCTTCTGACCTTCCATACTCATCACACGCGTCCAGGTGGACAGAATGATAATAAAAGTGATCAGATATGATTCCTGTATTGCTCATTGAAGTTGATCATTACTGTAATTATATACCCCCGTGTGTATTTAATACACAGATAATTCAGTAATAACAGCACATTTTGCGACGACCAATCACAGCTCACAAACCGTCTGGATCATCCAATCAGCTTTACGCGCTGCGGCTTAAGGCCCCGCCCCCCGCCACAGTATTAACTTGACATGCGCACACGCCGCACCGACCGCAGGATTTACTGCACAGAGAGCAGAGACTGTGTGACAGTTTGACGCTGAACTGGACTAATAACATCTGCAAAAATGGTTGATGCTTTCTGCGCAACATGGAAACTGATCGACAGCCAGCACTTTGATGATTATATGAAGGCACTTGGTAAGCAACAGACATTTTATGTCCCCTTTGAGACACTTGTTGTACAGTTAATGACATAGTGGCTGCATAATTTGTATTATTATTATTTTGGGGGGGCTCAAATGCTTTAACTTAAACTTCAGAAAAGAAGAGCATAAAATGTTGTTATATGCTTGATTTGCATATTGCATTACTGAAGGTAGAACTTTTTCTTTTCTTTTTTCTTTTTTTTGAACAGGTGTTGGTTTTGCCACAAGACAAGTGGGCAATGTCACCAAGCCAACAGTAGTGATTAGCAAAGATGGAGACAAAGTGGTGGTGAAAACCCTGAGCACCTTCAGGAACACTGAGATCTCCTCCAAACTGGGAGAGGAGTTTGATGAGACCACTCCTGACGACCGTCATGTCAAAGTAAGCAGAGTAAAAGTCATAAAGGTTTAATCCTGTAAGATGCTCTGTGGTGCTAAATAAGACCTTGACTCTGCCTGCAGTCCACTTTCACCATGGAAGGAGACAAGCTCGTGCAAGTACAGAAGTGGGACGGCAAAGAGACCAGATTCGTCAGAGAAATCAAGGATGGGAAGATGGTGATGGTGAGAGCATCTGCTGTGTTGTGTTTGTCATGTTAATGCACTATGTAAAGCACAAGTTGCCTTTGTGTAGGACATTTGCAATACAAATAAACTGGCTTTGCCTCGTCATTGTGGTTACATTTACCAGTTTATGATACCATTTGATCTGCAAGTAACATTTCAGGCAGCTTATGCGAGGTATTTTGAGTCATCCAGTTCTTGAAGGCTGTTCAAATAAACCTGCCTCGCCTTGCCTTTGCAGTTGTGCAATATCTAATATTATATGACTGACTGAAGAAAACTTTACATTTGCAACAGCTAAATGCCAGCTGCCATGTAATTATAACACATTGCATTTTTTTCTCTCTGCCTCCAGACGTTAACCTTTGAGGGAGTCCAGGCGGTTCGCACATACGAGAAAGCCTAACCTCACCATCCACCTGAAAGAGCAAATCATCCCAGCACTGCCAATGATCAGCAAGGTGTTCTTTTTTTTTTTTTTTTTTTTTAAAGAAGAAACTTTTGTTTTTACTGCAGTGCTACTCGCAGTGATTTACACTTGATTTGTTGTAACACGAGATAAATATTTTGGGTACTCTTTTGTAAGCTCTTTTGTAAGTAACTCAGATGGTGAAGGGCCTGAAGTGTTTTCATTCTGTGTGTCACATGTGGGAAAAAAAAAGGGAAAATAAACGGCTGAACTAAACCTCTCCAGTGTCTCAGATATTTCAGTTGGTCTTTTTAAAGTCCACAAGTACCACTTTATCCCAACAGAGAACTCACTTTCTTTCTCTCCAACTTTGAATGCGGTCCCACATTTCTATTCAGATATGTCAGCCTTAATCGTGGGAACAGTACAGTCCCTGTGATGGGTCAGTTCCAGGTGACAGCTGCAGGGTGACGGTGCAGACCAGAGCCGACCGTGCAGCAGCAACAGCCAGTGTGACCATTGAACTCGGCGTCCTGTAGTAACCCCCAGATGGTCCGAGATGATGAGGGGAGGTGGGGGCAGTGATGTCACTCGCCTCGGGATAATCCGGTTTAAGTTGTGATGTCATTACGTAGAGGCATCATTCGATGGTGTGCGGACCAACCGTGACTGAACGCTGCCGCTGACATGACAGGCAGGTGATGGGGAGGGAGGACACCGTTCGTAGCAGTCGGTTAGTAGTTCAAAGCCTATATATAGAGTCTGTTAATAAACCTTTGCCCAACTGTTTAATCCAAACAAGAGGTGGATTCCCCTCATCTGTCCTCCGTCTTTCCCACACCACAAGAAGCCAAATCCTCCCAGTCCTGCCCCGTGCACTGTGTCCAGCCTACTGAACACTGTGACTACAAGTGGCCATTCTTCTCATCTCTGCACACACACTGCCAAGTTTTTTGTCCATCACTGAATAGCCTTGTGACACAAAGAAACTGTGCTAACTGGAGTGGAACTTATTTGGCATTTACCAGCTGAATTAATTTAAATGAAAATCTGTCTTTATGCTCCAGTTATAGGAAACTAAAAAGCTACCTCTGCTCTCACAAAATCATTTGCCTAAGTATTTAAGCTGTGCATATTCTGTATTTTCTCAGCGGTGCAGCCTCTAAGAAGGAAAGAAAAGGGAACTTATCGCTTTCCGTGTTCAGGAGACAATGAGAGAAAATAGTTGAGTGTAGCTTCTTCTGTCCGTGGTGGTTGCAGGATTCTTCCCAGGAGAGCAGCAGGAGTTTCCTCTTTGTGTGTAATCCGTGTCAGTGGTGTAAACTGACCTGTAGTAACCCCTCTCTGACCTCATTTAAGAATACCGTGTGCAGACCTGCCCATTTACTGTCTCTGCTCTTTCATTTAATTGTCCAGCTTCTTCTGTCTTTCACTGAAACATGTATTGTGGCTACAGCTACCCTTAAAAAAGTTACGGTTATGTTCCTGGTAGTTTCTGAAAATTTGTGAGGTTGGACCATCTGAACCCCAAAACCTGACCGCAAATTTTTAAAGCATGTTATCTTAAAAAAAAATAAAAATAAATCACCATGATGCCATTTATCAGACTGAAAAAACTAGAGAGAATGACCAGATTTTCAATTTGACATCAGTGCAAAACTTGTGATATTTTACCAAAATCATTTTATTTTACGTGTAATTTTTTTTAAACCAAAGATAAAGCACTATCACTCACAAGAATTTAAAAAAAAAAAAAAAAAAAAAATCTGTCTTTCTCTGTGCAAACAGTATAACCATTAATGACTCAGCTGCAGCCAAAAGTGAAGTGACAAAAAAAATTCAAAGACTGTCTGTATGAACTGGACTGAACTGCAGGCTGTGTTTACACAGAGCAGGGAGGAGACAAGCATAGAACAAATACAGGTATTAAACTATCTATCATGTGTAGAGTGAGTGGCCCTTTGTCAGTATTGGTAGCACATGTGGGCAGTTGGAAAACAATTTCACATATAGATTCCAGTTATTTCAACTTTTCTGACACAAATCATTTTAACCTTTTATTACATTATGACACATTAACTGTGTGATGCTGAAGACATTTTTGAGTTCACTTTCTGTCTTCTCTCTCCTGTAGTTTGTGTGTTTTGTCCTCTGCAGGTATCTGTGGAGCTACATGTGTCTGACCTGTAGTTACTGCAGTTACTCACCCACCTCTAAGGTATTTATTGTTCACTTTTGCATTGTTTGCCTGTTTCCTATCCTTTTGTCTCTTACCCTTACCCTCACCCCAGCCAGGTGAGGCAGATGGCTGCCCTCCCTGAGCCTGGTTCTGCTGGAGAACTCGACCCGCTAGTTTTTTTCTCCCTACTGTTGCTAGGTTCTGGTTCAAAGAGAATCCAGCATGAGTAATACTTCAGCAGTTACTTTTCACAACTGAAACTGCAGAACTATTTTCTTCATACCTTTCTTACAATAGCATTAAAATGTGGATTATTTGTTTTTTTGAAGCTCTAAAACCTCCATGCACTTTGCCCTGACTACAAAATATTACAGTTTTCTGGTTTATTGCTACTCCTTGTGTTAGACATGTCGGCACCATTAAAGAAAAGACAAACACTTGCGGTGCTATGTTTTAATGTCATATTGCTACTATTCACAAGCATAATGAGGGTCAGTTAAGGCGAAGTTTCAGTAGTCATATTTCCGGGATAAAACAACCCATTTTATTTAATTATTTACATCAACATTATTTTAATATGAATGATTTGTTTCTTGTATGAAGTCAGCAACACCACTGAGAGACACATGTATCAAAAACCCTGATTCATGTGCTCATAAGTGTGTGTGTGCCACATAAATATTTTGAGAGCATAAACAAAAGCACACACACACACACATCATGCACAGTTCATTCAAAGACAAACATACAGTGCTATAATCAAAAAAACTAAATATTGCACATGTTCACCTGGTAAAAGTGAGTCTTTAGGTACATTTTATATTCGTCTTTTGTTACCATTAATCAAAATGTTTTTTAGCAACATCTCCAATAACTCACATATTTAGGAACACCCACAACCTCATCAACATCTCCATAAAACTCCAGCTGTTACAGTTCAGTTCAGTTCACTGAGAGCTGCAGAGCGTGCATCATTCCTGATAAACAGTGTGTTCCTATTATTTAAACTTTTTAAAAAAAAAGTGGATTTGCACTTGAATAGACTCAGGATTAGTGCCACAAGCTGTAATAACTGTCTCCTATGCAACATATGGAGCAAAATGCAACGAGCCATATGTAGCTGGTACAAGCTGACTAATGTTTAACGTCTGCGATCATCTGCCTGAACATGTGACGTCCTCTGCAGCGAGTGTGACCACATGGTGTGCAGTCAGAGATGTTTCAACGTCAGACTTCTCTACGTTAACACCAATGTTGTTTTTCTATTATTTTTCAGAAATTTTGAATGCATGATTTGGCTGTTTGTGCATGACCAATAACAGTATTCAAAATCTGTCTCGTAGCTCTCACTGTACATCTCAAATACAGAATATTCACAAAACAGAAATCCTGTTTATTCTGCTGCATTTCAGCGCAGTCAATCTGAGATGTTATTTTAAGATATGCATTCATATCATGTTATATATGCCCATAGCATTATAATAGACAATCACTCTCTCGTTTATAAGAACCTGCTTAAAAGGTTTCCAAAATATGTCAAGTTTCTACTTTGTGCACACACATCGACAGCCGGCGACCAACGTCAGCGGCAGCGTGTTTTTGGTCAATCAAGGAATTACAGAATGAATCTGATACTTGATGGTAGAAACGATCAAATGAAAAACACAACTGAACTCAAACCTCATTCTGAGAGTCCAGGCTGGTTATTAGCACCAATATCAAAATGAGGAGCTGGTGCAGGTGTCCAGATGGTTTTAATAAGACTTTAAACATTTCAGGTAGCGTTCCATCAGTAAGTTTGGGAGCTCTCATACACAGTGCATGGTCATTCCTTTTGATGCATAAAAACTACAAAATAAAATTTAAAAACACAGTTGTTCTGTCTTGGAAAATGCCAAGAGGATCCATTTTCATTTGATTCCTTTTGTGTACTAAGGTAGGAAGAAAAAGAGGAAAATCTGTGAGAAAAATGGTTCCTTGAAATAAATTAAATACTCTAACGAGTCATGAGCAACCACGAGGACAAGCAGGGCACCCATCGTATGATGAAGGGAAAAAACAAAAACTATACAAATGACCAAGCATAACAATTTGTGTAAAACCGCTTTTCAAGTAAATGTAGGAGGAACTGCATCCAAGTCCACCTTAGATCAGCAACTTTTTTGTACCCTGTTCACAGTGAATTTAAACCATTGTCATAAAAGCACAGACTTTGTCTTTTACAGACTGATAACAACAATATGTAGTGAGCTGTAAATATATTACAAGGTTTTACAAATGTTGCTTTAAATATCTAAATGAATGATCCACAGAAGTTACAACAGATTGTTCCATTTAAAGTATTCCTATGATGTCCACTGAGCACAGAAAACAAAATAAAAAAAAAAAAAGTAAAGGAATGACACTGGCTGCATGTATTTGGTACGAGAGCTCAACCAATTCTGGAAATAAAATAATGGTCTGTCACAAAAAAATCCCCCATCATCCTCTGCTGTCCAGCTGCAGCTGTGTTTCAGCAGCGCGAGGTGTGACGTGACCTTGTCATTATCAGTAAGTTGACTAAATTGTAAACCTCAGACTGGATTCAGACTGAAGCCTCAAATCTGCAGCGGTGAGAAGGCGTAAAACGGAAACTGCGCCTCGTCTTCGTCCACAAAGAAACACTGGAAGTAGGGCAGCTCTTCTGTGGAGGGCAGTAAAGAACAGTGTGTTCCTGAACTTTCTCTGACTCCACAGACAAGAATGTTTGCAATCTGCATAATGGTGAATATTTCAGCTATCAAGAGGGGAATTTGTACTCACCCTCCATGAGAAAGCTGTCCGATACAGAAGGCTCTGCTGTTAAAAAAGGAACACAGTGTTGGCCATAAAACTATAAAGTATTGCAGTAACTTAATTTACAGCAACATTACCTTTAACTTTATCCTCCTTGGCAGCTTTCTTTACAGCAGCTTTTTCTACAATAACAAACGTAGGCATCAAAAAACTGAGCCAAGCTGCACAGATGTATTTTGAACACTCACAGTTAAAATGCTTCCTAAACACAAGTACCTTTCTTTGCAGGCTCCTGTATCTCTTTAAGAACTCTGTCCTCTGGAAATGACAACAAAACATTAAATTGCACACTTTCAAATATACATATATATATTCTATTCAAAGCTAAACACACACTATACCTTTAGCTTTCTCTTCCTTTTCTACCTTCTTCTCAACTGTTTTTCAAGAACAAAGAACAAAAAACTTGTTTTTGTACATGAATTATTCAAGTGTAAAATACAATAAGAAGTATTGAGAACTACTTGTTCAATTAGGGAGGCAAAAAATACACACTGTGTTTTCTGACTAATTATTTTTTCTTCCTTTAGTCTTTTATAAGGTACAAGTTTAGTTTCTAATAATATGAAACAGAAAATCTTTATATCTGAGAGGCAAACAAACAGCTATTTGTTTGAATTTATGCCTAAAAAATATTGATTGGTTTTCAAAATAGAACTTTTTTTTAATCAACTAACTGACAAATTGTTGTATCTCTGGTTTGATCACATTTACATGCAGCAGATGCTCTTTTTGCAATCTCTGTTTTTTCTTACAGAAACTCTTCCTCCCCCCCTTTTTTTTATTCTATAGATTTTGCATGTTTTATGATATAAATACTCAGAGCTGATTGCATACCTTTCTTTGTTGCAGTGGGTTTGATCTTTTCTTTTAAAACCTGAGGCTCTGTTTCACAAATACGGAGGAAACACAGGTAGGCAGGAAATGTACAACATGCTGTCTATACGATCATGTTTCACTGCCAGCCAAGGAAGCGGAACAATGCAAAGTTTCAAAAACACAGTTTTACTCAGGGGGATTTTTAATGATGTAGGGTAAGTTTGGGGGTTTTTTGTGTATATGCTTTAGTTTAGGAGTGAATAACATCAGCTGATGCAAACTGAGCTTTGCAGACTGTACCTGAGCATGAAAAGACATGCTGAGGTACAGCAAATGAAAACTAGAGCATCGCAATCAAGAAACTTCTTTATACCACTTCCTAATCAGGAAACCCTTTTTTTTAACCCTTTAAAAAAAGTTCACCTTTTTTTCCCAAGTCATATCAATGGTTATCTATATTAAATCAATTGGTAAAAACCCACTTTGCCAATTAACAGGTAAAGCCTGCACACGAGTTTCATACAAATCAGTTAAAAGCAGCTTAACTTCAGACTTGATAGGATATTAGAAAACAACACACCCGTGAATACCAGTGTGTAGCAGCTATGCACATTTAAACGAAACAGAACGGGGCGTCCCTATAGCTCACCTGGTTGAACAGCTGCAGGTCTCTGCCTTTCCTGTCTACCTCTAATGCTCTAAATAAAGGCAAAAGCCCCCCAAGATGCGACAGTCCAGCAGCTAGAATACCAAAACTTATGTAATTATACAAGATTTCTTTCCTCTTTTTTTTGTTGATTTTTAATTGATTTTATACGATGCAAAAATTCTGTAAGATATATAGATATAAGATATTTTTACATTTATTTTTTACTGTAATGTGTTGCCAACTGAATTGGCTGAATTATTACTAAATGCAAGAACTAAACAACAGTCAGTGGCTTTCCCACAACATGGTCCTCGTAATCTGTTGTTAAAACCTGATGCATGATTGATCCATAAAAGCCCTGGGAAATGGTCTGGTGATAATTCACTGAGGTATCCAGGTCATAGTCTATCTAAGAAACCTTTAGGATGAGAAATGAAACATCTTCAACAAACTCACACGTGTACGTTTCAGCATTAATTAATTCACTAGTTATGCCTTATAAACCCTTTTTAAATGGGGCCCTATTAGAAAGTGGTAACAACATTTCAGAGTTGATCTAATAATCAGCATGCGTGTTCTGTAGGACTATAGAAATAACTGTAAATCAATATATTGGTTATCTATTAACCTATTAAAAGATTTACAGAAAGTAGATCAATAAACTTCTGTTGAGTTAATGAGGTCATTCCCTTGCTGACTGTAAAACTGTCTATCATCTTAAGTAATGTGAGGTTTTCTTTACATATTAACTCAGATCATTTGTGGACAGTTTTGCATTCAGCAGGAAGACGCTCTCAGCCTTCAGCAGCAGCAGCAGCAGCAGCAGGTTTAACAGTTATTTTATTTTTTAATAAGCAAAATAACCATTTTCCCTCTGAGTATCCTTCTAACTACAGTTTGCAGTGGCCTTCATGTTGCAACCAGATTACATGGTGTAATCAGATTACCACTGCTGGTTACATGAAGTGCTGCCTGTACTCAAGCACCACAAATACCTTTCCTCACATGGACTGCTTTGGTCTTTTTCCTCAACATGGCTGCGCCATCAGGGACAAAATACAATTGATAAAACACACAGATCCTGTATAAATATTTCTAATGATAATATATTTACCAGATCCTAAAACTCTTCAGATAGCTACACATTACATATCCATGCACTGGGAAATAAAACATGTACCAGTATATTCTCTTGCTTCATAAACTGATCTAAATATCAATAGTGCAAAAAACATAACAGCCGTCATTCTACCGAGCACTGTACCTTTCTTTACTGCAGCAGGTTTGTCCTTCTCTTTAGGAGTCTCCACTTCTGAAACAAGAGCACTGATGTGAGCAACACACAGGACTTCACAGCAGAAGAAACAACGAGCCGATGTTTCAACAAAGTCTCTTGAACTAAAGCGTTGCCGTTCTACAAAAACGTCTCACAGCTTGAAGCAGAGCGTGATGCATCTACAACTAGAAAGCTGTATTTATTTTATTTAAGTGATTTGTGCCATTCTGCAAACAGCCACAGGTCAATTTTACAAATAGTTTTCAGTTTCTTGAAATACAAAATTGACTAATGATGCTATTTTATCTGTGCACAAAGTCAGCCATTGGCATCTACCAGGACAAACCACTTGACCAACATCAGTTTGATGGCTTTGAATGCTTCAGGTTCTGTTTCTTTATCTTTTTTTGACGTGGAATTTGCCAAACTAGAGCAAAGGGCTTTAAGCTGCCCTGCATCCTCCACACAGCTCAACATTTATAACACATTGTTAATGTTTGGTGGATCAAGTTTCCTCGTCATGGAAATCTCAGCTCTTTATTATTGAAGGTAAAAGGTGAACAATTGTCTTCTGTTGATGTCAGATGGTTTTCAATCCAATCAGATGTTTTACAGAACAGTGATGTAGAGTCTGTGCCCAGATCAATGCAGCCACAACTTTTAGCTTTAACAGAAGCACCACTAACGCACCTTTCTTCACACGGACTGGTTTGCTCTTTTTCTTTACCGTGTCTGGACCGTCAGGGAGAAAATGTCGTATAATTACATCAATACAAAGAGCTGTTTTTAGAAATCATTCACAAAACATGGCAATGTGGGATATAAATGTTGTTTTGTACCTTTTTTAACAGCTGGTTTGACTTTTTCCTTTGTTACTTTGGGCTCTGAGATAAATAAGAATGTAGGATGTTTAAGAAAACAGACTGCAGTAGTTCAGGTTATACTGCAGTTGTGTAGTACTACTACAGTACTATGATACACTGGATGATTACAACAATAAAGCTAAGACAGTAGAACATGATCTACAGGCAGATGGCAGTGGCAGACTACCTTTCTTCTTTAGGAGTGATTTGATCTTTTCCTTCTTTGTTTCAGCCTCTTTTTTAGAAGGAGCTAAATCAAATGACAAACAATGTTTTTAACAGCTCGACTGTTTTTAAAAGCCACATTTTCAGAATTAATACACACAGTATGTACAATTTATACCGCACAACATTTAGGAAATCTGTGATTGGTGTTAAAATGGTGATGAAATATAGAATGAAAGGTCTATAAATGTTGTGCATCTCTACATACAGCAGATGTACATGTTGTTTTTGATTTTCTTAAAGTTTTATTTAAATATCTACCTTTCTTTTCATGCACTGGTTTGGGTTTCTCCTTTTCAACCTCTGCTTCTGCATATAAAACAGAATGAAAATGGCTTCAGCTGTTGTGCTAATGATGTTTATCTTTAATAAATAATGATAATTCATGTCTGCGTTACCTTTCTTGGCCAGGACTGGCTTGGCCTCAGGTTCTAATGAGAAAGAAGAAAAATAAGTGGTGCAACGACTGATGTGATTGATAGCTGGTTACATTTTTTCTTTCTTTCTTTTTTTTTTAACAGGAAATTAATTTACTGTTGTGTAGCTTTTCAGACTGTAAAAATACATCTATGGTATATATATATAATATATTATTAGACACTTAAAGTAGAGCAGCTGTGCACCTTTCTTTAAGGCTTTTGCCTTCATCTTTTCTTTCACAACAGCTTCTACATTGAAAAAAAAACAAAAAACAAGAGAAAATATCACAACAGCTCTACCTGAAAAACTACAAGCTCCCAAAAAATAAAATAAAATGACAGCTTTTACAAACACCACATCAATAAAACATAAAATAAGCAAAGTTTGAACACAATGACCAACTCAAACATGACAGAATTCAGTTTTTATATGTCAACAATGATATGACTGCATGATTATGTGCAGTGTACTGAGACTGTACCTTTCTTTGCTACTGCAGGTTTGGCCTTTTCTTTAGGAGCCTCCACTTCTGGAAATAAGAGGACGAAGGTGAGATGTGAGCAATCAACACACAAAACGTCACAGCAGAAGCCACAGTTCGCTTATCTTGCAATTATTGCTGCTTGAGCTCCAGCATTGCTCCTCCAAAATAAAGTTTTCACATCTCCGAGCAGAGCACGATGCATCTACAACTAGAAGCTGGAACCGGTTTTAAGAAGCAGCTGCATGTCAGAATAATTTCCCAGCAGTAATGCAAATAGTGTTTGTACAGCAGTGGTTGCTATAAAATCACTACAGACACGCAGGTCCTCTGTATACCTTTCTTCTTTTTAGCAGGTGTTGGTTTTGCCTTAACAACAGGTGCTAGAATAATAAATGATCCAGTTAAATCTAATGTGCATATATAAAAAGATGAGAAGCCACAAAGAAACAACAGCACTATATATAATATGTGTAAATATAAAAAAGAAACAAGAACTGTGGAACTCTACGAACCTTTCTTGGGAGTCACAGCCTTCTTCTCCTTCACAACTTCAGCTTCTAAAACAAATAATAGCAACAAAAATCAGTGCAGTTTTCTGCAGAAATTTGAAAATGGCAGCAGAGTTATCACAGTTACAGTAGATGTAGTTTATTCCCACATTATGATGCTGTGCAAAAAAATCCAACAGACCCATGTATGTACCTTTTTTTGCTGGTGCTGGTTTGACTTTTTCTTTGGGAGTCACAGGCACTAAGACAGAAAAAAGTGTTGCAAAGTTGTAGTGTATGTTTGTGAAAAGCAGTTGTCACTTTGAGTTATCAATTTGTCCAGTTTTGGTGAAAATAAATTAAATAATAGATTAAAATGTGGAAACAACTGGTTGTACCTTTCTTCAGTGGCACCACTTTGGCCTTTTCCTTTGCTAGAGAGACGTTTTTAGGTGGAACTTCTGCCTCTGTGAAGTATAAAAATGAGATTGACTTTATAAGTATACACATGTTTAAACTGCTTATAGGCACATGGACATAGAAATGTTACTCTCTTCTTACCTTTAACTACTGGTGCTGGTTTTGTCTTGAGTTTTGCAGGTTCTAAATAAAGACATTTTCAGCATTACAGACAACCAGACACATAGAATCTATCAAGCTACATATAGTTAGATTTTAAATCGTATTTGTGGCCTACTTGTCTTTGCAGAGACTGCTTTGACTTTCTGTTTTGGTGCCTTGGTCACTGTGAGAAAAACAGAACATGAAGTATCAGGATTTGTACAGTTCACCTCTAAGGTACATGAGAATCTGAAATCAATGACAGATATGAAATAAAAGAGAATCACCTTTCTTCATAGGCACTATTTTGACCCTCTCTTTTGCCAGAGTGGCATTTTTAGGAGCGCCTTCTCGTTCTGTCAGCAGAAAGTTGAGAGTGACATATTCATACAGGACTTTATTTAATTAGTTTTTAAATGTTATTCTAGGACATGTACGAGTCCTACCTTTGGTTATGATGACTGGTTTGGCCTTTTCTTTAGGAGTCTCCACTTCTGTAAAAGAAAACTATGGTGAGACGTGAGCTATCTACACACAGAACTTTCCAAAGTAAGCCCCAAAAAGCTCATGTTCCAGTAACGCTTCCTGATGGTTGAACTGCAGCGTTCTTCACACAACTTGAAGCAGAGCACGATTCATCTACAGCTATGAAGCTCGAACCAGTTTTCAAAAGCAGCTACATGCCAGTAGGATGTTTAGATGGACAAGCTGCATGAATAGTGTTTCTACAGCAGATGTAATTTATTAGAAGAACTACGTTTTAACTAAACACTACAGACACACAGGTCCTCTGTATACCTTTCTTCTTTTTAGCAGGTGTTGGTGTTGCCTTAACAACAGGTGCTAGAATAATAAATGATCTGATTAACTCTAATGTACAGTAAAGCATAAGGGGGTAAACCAGGAAGAAATAACTGTATTATATATAATATGGCCAAAAATAAAGGCGAGACAAACCTTTCTTGGGAGTCACTGGCTCAGCCTTCTTCTCCTTGACAACTTCAGCTTCTGAAACAAATAATAGCAACAAAAATCAGTGCATTTACCTGCAGAGGTTTGCAAATGAAAACAGTGTGATTGTTAATATTACAGTTACAACTGATGCAGTTCATTGTCACACTATGATGCTGAGTAAGATCTGCAAACAGAGTCAGTAGATGTTTAGATGGAAAATTAGTTGAA